TAAGCAAAACAAAATTCTTAAATGATTTGTACAAGCATACTATATAATATACCAAAAAGAGACATATGAAAATTTATGGCATTTATAGTTCTAAAGTTCCATGAAATAGAATTGTATACAGCATTTGAGACATATACTATTTACCTTCACTCTCTTGCTTTATATATTCGATATTAATAACCTGTGAACTGTTCCTATGGCTCCAATACACAGTTGATGAGAAATACGGCTTTTACTGAACATCTTGACCCCAAGATGCTTAAAACTTATTGACAAAGTATGAATCATCAATGGTAACATACAGGATAGAAGTGTTTCTGAGTATTCTGCTCAGTAGGGCAATTGCATCACTGTTTCACAAAAACTATAACTGATTATGATCCTGTGTGGGCACATAGCTCATCTGTGGGAGACAGTTTCTGTGCATACTTAAACTTTTCAAAAAGAAAAAATGATCAAAACTGAATAAACACTCATTGTTTTTATGAATATTGTCTTGTTAGGAATTGGAGGCATTTAAATATACATCACATGGTTTGTAGAAGCATTGTATAGAAAAGGATATAGAAGAAATTGCAAGTGTCGTTTTGCATGCATAGTAAAAGACAGCATGAGCTACCGAAGAGAATTCCTGGGAGTATATAGTGCCATAGCTCTATATCCAATTTTAAAAATCTAAATTTAATCCTAACCTAAAAATAAGTAGAACATCAGAGGTGTACCTTTCCTTAGCATGAATAGGTTCTTAAAAATGTGGATTTCTCCATATTCAGTGCTATTTTGTTCTTAAAATTTGGGGTATGATCTTTTGGGAAAATATTTGACCCTAAGTGTTAATAAAATAAAACTATACTTGAAAAGCAAATATTTTAAATTCACATCTTGATGGAAATAAAATAACTTATTAATAAAATTAATACCCTAAGGTACCTAAGGCTATTTAAATACTAAGCATGATAAAATGAACTCCTTACATGATAATTTAACTAATAAAACACAGTCATTAGATTCTGTTCTTCTCCCTAATATAAAATAGGTTAATATATACTTTTTTTGTTGTTCTGTTTTCTTTTGTTTTTATTATGCTGTATCCCAAACCTTTGTGAAAGCCTTTGGCTTTCAATAATAAAAAGGCCAGTCTGGCTGAAAGTAGAGATATAAACAAGTAGATGCAGTTATTCAGAGAAGTAAGTGATTAAAGAAAGAAATAAATTTAATCGGAGGAAAAAAAGAAAAAACAACCAATAAATTGTGGTAATGTGTAACAAAATGCACACAGCTCTGAGGAATTGAAAACCGGAGTGAGCCAGCAGATACTATTTTTAAATCCATCTACTGTCTTATGGATTTTATATATTTGATCATTTTTGGTTTGGCATTCTTCTATCACAGGATTTCCCATAAAATACATTGTTTTTCAAAATACCGTCTTTATCAAAATCATCCTGGGGCCCCCCACTCCAGGTCTACTCTGTCTGTATATCTGGGGCTAAACCTGGGAATAGGCAATTTTAACCCAGTTTCCAAGTGATTCTTATGTGGATACAGAACGAAAATCTGAAAATTACAGCAGTAGTTTAACAGAGTGTAGTTTTATTGCTTTTGCAGTAATACCTTTTTTTTGCCAAAAACCTACTTTTTCCAAAACCCAATTAAAAGCTTCCTTTTCTAATTTTTTTAAGGCAGAGTTAGTCTGCTCCCCCAGCCCTATGGCCCTGCCTTTATTATAGTAATTGTGAGTGTCCCAAATATGTTAGTACAGATTTAAGCTTTAATGGGTTCACATGTGTGAATATGCTACAAATGTAACCTACCATCCTTTGAAAATTTAATTATTTCAATTTCTTTTATAGTCCTTTAGTTTTGTTTATTTCAAATAAATATTTGTGACAAATATTTGAATTTTAATATTTGTGACAGTTTTTTAGACTGATGTAAAACCTTGGCCACTTCAATCACCTGATCTATCTCTTTTATACTTTGTCATTTGGGTTCATGTCAGAATTATCAAGTATGGGTCAGTATTTCATTCTTTGAATAATCTTAAAGCTTGAATTATAGATATATTTCTTTTAGTCACTGAGGAGCAGCAGCTGTTGAAAGTTTCTACAAAGTTTGAAATTTGACTTGAGCATTGTATAACACAACACAGTGGTCACTTTGTGTTTTAATGAGAAACATATCAGTATTTTAAGATTTTAAATAATTGACCTTTAACATGTTGATTTGTATATTATTGTGGCATTTATACTTGTAAAATTATTGAAACAAACTTCATGAAGATTTTGAGATTCTGTATAACTTACTTATATGAATGCCTGTCACCTTAAACTGTGCTTTTCTAAGTCAGGGGACATGTTTTATTCATCTCTGTATCCTGAAGACAGTTGATTAATATTTGCTGAAAAAAGAGGAAAAGTACATCTATTATGCATTGTCCAATTTGTTTAATATATTCAGCATTATACAACTATTAGTAAATATATTTGGGTGTACTTGATACATTTAATGTTTGTTTATTTTTGAGAGAGTGAGAAAGAGCAAGTGGGAGAGGGGCAGAGAGGGAGACACAGAATCCGAAGAGGCTCCAGGCTCTGAGCTCAATCAGGGCTTGAACTCACAAACTGTGTGATCATGACCTGAGCCAAAGGCGGACGCTTAACTAACTCCTGATTTCGGCTCAGGCCATGTTTTCATGGTTAATGGGATCGAGCCCTGCCTCAGGCTCTACACTGACAACACTGAGCCTGCTTGGGATTCTCTGTCTCCCTCTGTCTCTGCCCCTCCCCTACTCATGCACACATACACTCTCTCTTTCTCTCTTAAAATAAAAAAGGACTTTGTAAAGCTAATAAATAATTTTTTAAATTTAGTATCAAATGTATTAATACATATAAATAAAACTAATATTTAGTTTACTGTTTCCATCCATTACAGCTATTTTTTTTTTTTTAGATTCCCCAATTTCTCCATCTTTGGCCAATGAGAATATCTTCACATTGACTTCTGAGTCCTGCTGACAAACAATCCTTGTAGAGTTTGATAGCTTCTAAGTGTGTCACAGTATAATCCAGGCTCATCTTGTACATTCATATTCCCAGATCTGGAATCCACCATTTTCCTTGACGAAAGGCCCAGGAAATGATATTTGAAAATCACTAATTTTGACGAGTTTATTTATTACTCACTTATGTCATTTCAGTGGGCTGAACTAAGAAATACATACACATGTGTGTACATAATGCATCAAGAGACTCTAGGTTCTATTTACCTTCTTATATATGTATCTGCTTTGTCTCATGCTAAAATGACTTAGGACACCAAAAAATGATAGAATGATAGTAGTATCTCATAATTGTTCAGTTGTTTTATCTTATGAAACACAGTAGTTTCAGCAAAACAATAACAAACTAACAACTGATAAACAATATGATTACTGACAATAGTATTAGATTTTGTTTAATAGTTCTTTTTGTTATGTCATACTAGGGATGTGCAAGTAAAGTATTATATTTTAAAGAACTTGAAATAGTTATTCTCTGTGTGATTATTGCTGTGTGATCACTAGCAAGATATACATTTAGATCATATTTACTTTTTTCCTTGAGGAGAATCCCTTTGAAGTTTGAACATTTAATCATATTCTCTGATTCTGGGAAGGTAGGTAAATAATCAAACATTTCCATGATAGATAGCTGAAGCAAGTTGTAGAGGCAGCTTGGGGAAACTAGGCAACTTTCCACCTTTTCCCAAATCATCTCTTACCAATGTAATTGTGTCTGAAATTAATTCTATAAAATTGGACTCTTCCAAACTCTGATGTAAGTACAGTGTACTTTCCCAATGTAAATGCTTTATCTCTACCTTGCCTCCTCTGCACAATAATTCAGTTGTAACAAACTTCTTTGGCACAAAAGCCCTGTTTATGAAATGAATCAGGGCTAAATGTAAACTTAAAACTTTTAGCCCTGATAAGAATATGTACTACTTCTGACAAGGTATTGTGGTGAAATGGCTTTATCAAAAACTATTGATAAAGGATTTCTTTTGTTAAAATTAAATTCAGGGAAAGAAATGAAATGGGCCATCGTTCCTTAAAATCTGCAGTACTGTGAAACGTGGATACTTTTTCAAAATTAGATAGCCAAATAATAATTAGTTAACTTATATTTTGAAGTAAAGGTAATTAGTTTACATTCTTAAAATCAAGACCCAGAACAACAATAATTCATAATTAAAATATTTTATCACTGTATGCCAGATACTGTACTAAGCCATTCATCCATTTTCTCATTTAATCCTCACAACATCCTTATTATGTTACTACTAATGTCATGCCCATTTTATAAATTTCTTCAGGAAATTAAGCCATAGAAACCTGAAGTTTCTAAGCAAAGATCATTTTGCTATATGTTTCCTCATTATAAGTCTAGCAATTGCAGGTAAAACAATGGTGATTTAAAAAAAAATTTTTTTTACAATTTCGAGGATTTAAATTTATGTAAGAACTATTAACTTGATATGTACTAATTTTATATAAAGGTTATTAAATAACTGGCAATAATTGAAAATATAAAAGCATTTTTGTGATTAAGATATGACTATATAAATACATATTAGGTTTTTTTTAATGTTCCAATCTATAATAAATTAGTATTTGAAATGTTGGAAATATTTCAACAAAATATATTTATCACATGTAAAAAGTTTAGATAGAAAATGGTTGCAATATTTTTTTCTAAAGTATATTATTCTCTATTGTATTGTGTGTAAAATTAGAAAATATATTTAAGCAAATATAAGCATATCTCTGTAACTGACCATCAGAGCTATCCACTATATTTTGGTATATAGCTTTCCAGATTTTTTTCACATTCTAATTGCTGGTTTTGGTTGAATTGTCGAGACTTCTTCAAATTGTAGTACATTTCCTAAGAAAGTATTTTAAAAAGAATGCTTGATTTTTTAAAAAACTAATGTATATATTTCTTTTTTTAAAGGATTGTACTGTGTATGAAACAGAGAATAAAATTCTTCATGTGGTAAGTTTACTTGGGTTTATTTTCATCTTGAAAATATTTCTTTGTTTGACTAATAAATAAAAAGCTATAGCCTATTAAAAATGAGCCCAGTATATTTTATAGGAAAAGTATAAAAGAACATAAAAAGTGTAAAAGCATAGAAGAACAGGTTATATTAGAGTCATTCTTTTGTATCCTAATAAGAACATTTAGTATAATATGATAAAAATTTTAAGATTGTAGTATGTAGCAAGGATGGACTATAATGAAGAACCTAGAAAAAAAGAGAGTTTAAAATCAGAACTTTTTATCATTCATTTCTGACAAAAAGATATCAGGGAAAAGTATTTGATTGTATAATGGGATAAACAACCTATCATCATCATCAACCTTAATAAAATAATCAATCTGCCTTTGATCAGATTCTATACTCCCCAAATAACCTTCCAAATTTTAATTTGGCAATATGTACCAAATCAGTTAATCACTTTGCAGATATTTTATTACTAGAAATGGAGTGTGAGTATACTATACTTTTATAGAAAGGTATCTCCATTTTGTTAATGAATAGTTTGCTGCTTTTCTTTGTAAATCCATGTCTTGGTTGATGTACATCTGTCCTGATAACTTTTTCACTTCTTTTAGAAATGAGTTTCAACATAAGTAACATTAAAGAAGTTTAGAAATGAATGCTATATCTTTACTTGGGCAATTCTGCATTCAAGCTAGTGAGAATTTAAAGATCTTGTTTGATGATGATTGACACTGTGTATGGCATTAACCAAGAAGTTCAGCTCAGAAAGCACTTTATTTTGTTTCTTTTTTTTTTACAGTTCTCCTATTTTATTTTTTTGTTAACATTGTTTTAAGTTTGTATTTAAATTCCAGTTAGTTAACATACAGTGTAGTATTATTTCCAGGTGTACAAAATAGTGATTCAACACTTCCATACATCACCGCTGCTCATTACAAGCGTACTCCTTAATCCCCATCACCTATGTCACCCATCCTCCCACCCCCTTCCCTCTGGTAACCATCAGTTTGCTCTGTGTAGTTAAGACTCTGTTTCATGGTTTGCCTCTCTCTCTCTTTTTTCCCCTTTGTTGTTTTTTAGGTTTCTTAAATTCCACATATGAGAGAAATCACATGGTATTTGTCTCTTTCCACTTCTCCCTTCCTGGCCTTTTTATGTAAAGATGGGCTAGTCTTTAGTAGGAGGTTATATACTTCTGTGCTGCTTTCCTCACAATAAGAATTCTTCTTAAAAAATAATAAAGAGTACATTATACCGCTTGGCATATATGATACTAGTATCTTTCCAGATTTCCTGTAGTGTAGAGGAACTCGTGCTAAGTCTAAAGGACTGTCTGAACCCTAATTCTTTCTAAAAACTTTTTTTAATGTTTTTTTTTTATTTTTGAGAGAGAGAGAAACAGAGCATAAGTGGAGGAAAGGGAGGGAGAGAGAGAGAGAGAGAGAGAGAGAGAGAGAAGTGCAGAATCTGAAGCAGGATCCAGGCTCTGAGCTGTCAGCATAGAGCCAGACATGGAGCTTGAACTCACAAACTGTGAGGTCATGACCTGGGCCACCAAGGCATCCCTGAACCCTAATTCTAACAGTTTGTATCTCAGTGACCTTAGTCAAGTAGTTTAACTTTCTTTGATATTTTTAAGGTAAATTTTAACAATTAAAAAAAATTTATTGCTGATTTACACATAACATTATATTAGTTTCAAGTATATAACATAATGATTTGATGTTTGTAGTTGACTTTGTTCTTAATATGTAAAATGAGAATATTAATATATTTAAGTACAATTATTTATAACCTCATTACCTTCTTTACAATATTTATTTATGTTTGTTTTCAGTTTCCCTTTTTCTTTTTTATGTGCACCAGAAAATAAAAAGCTTGTGTTTTGATATAACTTGTTTGGAATCAAATTGTGACTGATTCTGAATGTTCTCCTTGTTTCTGTGACACTTGAGTCAGAGTACTCATACAAATGAGTAAATATTACAGTAACTTGAGATATGCACTAGAACATCAACTGTCTCTGTCCAGATCCAATCCCTATATCTGCATTTTGTCTGGGGAGTAGAGGAGGCTTTTAAAGAGGAAGGTGAGGTGTGTCTTTTCCTGAAATAGATCTTTATTTAGGGATAAGTAAAGAAAAAGAATGAGAAAAAGGAGGTTAACTATCCCTCATATATCAGAAGAAAATCTTTCTATGAAGAAAATTTATTAAGAACATCTATTTAATGATCTCAGTAAGAATTAAAAGTGTTTACATTAAAATAGAATACCATACTATAAAGAAAATAAGGCCACTATAAACTGAGCTCAAAATAAACTAAAAAAAAAAAAAAACAAAAACACAGTCCTTAAAACTGAGAACATGGGGGGCGCCTGGGTGGCTTAGTCGGTTAAGCGTCCAACTTTCGCTTAGGTCATGATCTCGCGGTTCGTGGGTTCGAGCCCCGCGTCGGGCTCTGTGCTGACTGCCAGCTCAGAGCCTGGAGCCTCTTTCGGTCTGTGACTCCCTCTCTCTCTGACCCTCCCCTGCTCACGCTGTCTCTCTCTCCTAGAAATAAATAAAACATAAAAAAAAAATTTTTTTTTAATAAAAAAAAAAAACTGAGAACATGCAAATAGAAATTAAACCATGCTGAAAGCAGTAAAAAACATGTTGGTTATTGCAGAAAATTGAAACAGTAAGACACAAAGTAAACTTTTTTGACACTCAAATTATTAGTAAATTAATAAAAAGACAAAAAATGAAAGAATATAATGAAGAATATAATGGCTATAGAAGATAGATTATGGTTAGCCCACCTTCAACTAATTATAAGTTTCTAAAGAAGACAAGAGGAAATAATTAAGGTTATAATAGAATAATTTAGGAATCAAATTGGGAAAATTTAATTTCTCAACAAAGTCAGAAAGTGAATTGGAAAGGTGATGATTTCAAGATATTTTCTTTAATATATTATAGTTTCTATGTCAAGAAGCAGCTACAGTTAGGGCGCCTGGATGGCTCAGTCGGTTAAGCATCCGACTTCGGCTCAGGTCATGATCTCACAGTTTGTGGGTTCGAGCCCCGCATCGGGCTCTGTGCTGACACCTAGCTCAGAGCCTGGAGACTGCTTCAAATTCTGTATCTCCCTTTCTCTCTGACCCTCCCCTGCTCACCCTCTCTCTCTCTCTCTCTCAGAAATAAATAAAAACATACAAAAATTTTTTTTTAAAAAGAAGCAACTACAGTTAACTAGTGGGAAGAGATACATGAGAAGTTTTCGCTTCAAAGAAATAAAAATTATATTGAATTCAGATGTCTACTCTGAAACCATAACTGCATAACTGCCAGAAAACAATTAAAATCCGTAAATCTTTTTTCTGTTTTTTTATATTTTTTAATTTAAATCCAATCTAGTTAACATAATAATCATTAGGAGTGGAATTTAGTGATTCATCACTTACATATAACACCTAGTGCTCATCCTAACAAGTGTCCTCTTTAATGCCTATCATTCATTTAGCCCATTCCCCAACTCAGCACCCCTCCAGCAACCCTCAGTTTGATCTCTGTATTTAAGAGACTCTTATGGTTTGCCTCCCTCTCTGTTTGTATCTTAATTTTCCCTCCCTTCCCCTATGTTCATGTGTTTTATTTCTTAAATTCTACATGAGTGAAATCATAACATTTATTTTTCTCTGACTGACTTATTTTGCTTAGTATAATATATTCTACTTCCATCCATGTTATTGCAAATGGCATGACTTCATGGCATGACTTCATTCTTTTTCATCACCAAGTAATATTTCTGTGTGTGTGTGTGTGTGTGTGAGAGAGAGAGAGAGAGAGAGAGAGAGAGAGAGAGAGGGAGGGAGGGAGAGGGAGGAGGGAGAGGGAGAGATACCACATCTTCTTTATCCATTTGTCAGTTCGTGGACATTTGGGCTCTTTCCATAATCTGGCTGTTGTTGATAGTGCTGCTATAAACATTGGGGTGCATGTGCCCCTTCAAATCAGCATTTTTATATCCTTTGGATAAGTACCTAGTAGTCCAATTGCTGAGTCATAGGGAAGTTCTATTTTTAATTTTTTAAGGAACCTCCATACTGTTTTCCAGTGTGGCTACTCCAGTTTGCATTCTCACCAGCACTGCAAAAGCGTTTCCCTTTCCCCACATACTCACCAACATCTGCTGTTTCCTGAGTTGTTAATTTTAGCCATTCTCATAGCTGTGAGGTAGTATCTCATTGTGGTTTTGATTTGTATTTCTCTGACGATGAGGGATGTTGAGCATTTTTTTCAGGTGTCTGTTAGCCATCTGGATGTCTTCTTTGGAAAAGTGTCTGTTTATGTCTTTTGCCCAGTTCTTCACAGGATTATTTGGTTTTTGGGTGTTGAGTTTGTTTGATAAGTTCTTTATATATTTTGGATACTAACCCTTTGTCAGTATGTCATATGTAAATATCTTCTCCTATTTTGTCATTGCCTTTTAGTTTTGTTGATTGTTTCCTTCGCTGTGCAGAAGCTTTTTATCTTGATGAGGTCCCAAAAGTTTGTGTTTGCTTTTGTTTCCCTTTCCTCTGGAGACAAGTCAAGTAAGAAGTTACTGGAGGACCATGGGGGAGAAGAAGAGGAAAAATAGTTGGGGAGAGGGAGGAAGGCAAACCATGAGAGACTCTTGAATGCTGAGAACAAACTGAGGGCTGATGGGGGTGGGAGAGAAGGGAAGGGGAGTGATGGGTATGGAGGAAGGCACTTGTTGGGATGAACACTGGGTGTTACATGGAAACCAACTTGACAATAAACTATTTAAGAAAAAAAAATAAACAGCAAGAACTTCAACAACAAAGAAGTTACTGCAACCTAGGTCACAGAGTTTGCTTCCTGTTTTCTCCTCTAGGATTTTGATGGTTTCATGTGTCACATTTAAGTCTTTCATCCATTTTGAGTTTATTTTTGTGTATGGTATAAGAAAGTAGTCCAGGTTCATTTCTCTGCATGTCT